ACTGTTGCCTGTACATTGTATTGTACAAAGGTTTGAATGGACGTACAGTTACAAAAAGGATCGCAGCGTTGGGAGGCAGGCAAACCCCACAGAAGGCGGGAACGAAAAAACGCGGCGGAACGCAGACCGGGGGCCCCTTTCGGGGACAGACCAGCGGCACCGGAAGTGCCCGGTATGCAACGGAGTGGTGGAAGCGCCGCGCTAGCTATCCGCCGGCGCGGCCGGAAGTCCCGCAATGACGTTCCAGTGGGTCGACTGCGGGCTGGTAGGACGGAGCCGAGGGTTGTGGGGGGCGCGGAGCAGAGCCCAACTGCCGCCGCAGGAGGATGAGCGAGCGGCCCGCTGGCAGCGGCAGCGGCGCCGCCCCGATTACCTCTGCCCCCAGGTAGGGCGGGTGCGCGGGCAGTCGGTTGGTCAGACGGGGCGAGAGGCCGGGGTGGCGGGCGCGGCCCCCACAGCCCGGCCCGCAGACTCCCCTCCCCCCTCCCTGTGCCATACTGCGCGGGGCTGCTCCAGCGGCTGCCCGCCTCGGCAGGTGCTTCCGTCTCCGCGCAACTTTCTTCTGTCAATCCGGTGAGCTTCACAGCGGGCCCCCGGCCCCATCTCCTGCCCCTTCCCGGCCTCGTCCCCTGCCGCCCCATGCTGGATTGGGAGCAAGCTTTGCTGCTGCTGAAGAGAGGGCGCGTTTGTCCAATATCGAATGGGGGCAGAGCCTTTCGCTTGGCCCTTTCTTTTTCATGTTATTTCAAGTGTGTTAATCTTGCCTGCCCTGTACTCTGCCACTGTTTGCAATGGCATTTCTCCCTCCGAGGCAAGGATTTCTTCAGGCCATATCTTTTACTGGATTGACTGCGTAGTTGGGATGAAGCTTTCCAATGCAAGAAGGATATCTTGTCTTTGAAAGCTTGTCTGACTTTGGACCAACTATATGGACCAAAGTTGGTTCAATAAAAGATGCCACCCTAAGAAACGGTTGCCTCTCACATACTTTCTGGACTGTCACAGCTGCAGCCTCGCTCTTGCGCTGTCATCCTCTCTGTCAGCCCTGTGCATAAACCGGTTGTTTGTTATCTTTGCTGTGGAAGGGAAAATGGGATTTACAAAATCCAAATGTGGACAGAGCCTTTCAGATCTATCTGTTAGCCTTGTATTCTTCCTGTTATTTGAAGTGTATTAACCTCAGAAGCAAAACTGTACGCAGTTTTGTTTACACTGTGCTTCTCTGTTGTGACTGGTGAACTGCCATCTGCCTTCCTGCTCCGTTTCAGTGGTTACCTGTCCTGACCACCCTCTTGTCTTTCTCTCATGGTAGCTCTTGTATTTCCTTCTGTTCTGCTCTCTGTGCTCCTATTTGTGTGCAGAGAGCCTGCTCCTACATGCTGTAATTCCAGAGCATCCAAGCAGACTTGATTAATTGAGACTGCTGGAGTGTAGAAATTACCACTCTCCAGCAGTCTTCAGCATCACGTGTATCAGCATCCCCATGCTGAAAAATGGCACCTGGGTGCTTTAAACTAAAGCTTGTTGGATGAGCTTTAATGCAAAGCACCCTGCTGTCATTTTTCAGCACAGGAACACCGACTGATACACGTGATGCTCCGGGCGCATTTATTTAGTGCGGCTCTCAGAGCTGCGCTAGTTAAAGCACTCCCCCCCCCACGCCACCTGGAGTATGTGTATAAACGCCCTCTGAGCTTGGTCAGGGATATTATCCTGGAATATATCAATGCCTATGAGAGAGAGGCAGAATCTAGGGCAGGGTGGTACTTTCTGAAGAAACTTGTTCAGCGAGTCATGAGCTTTCATAGACTGCAGCTTGCTTTATCCTATATAGTAGGCTATTCAAGTTGTAGCATTCATAGCATAAACATAAACATGTTATGTACTTCTAAACCACTTATTAGTCTGCATTAGAAAGCACCCTGCCCTGCTTTCTGCCAGTCTTTGTATATTGCCTTGGCTCTGATCCTGCTTCCTTAGCTTAGATTGGAGCCTTAGATGGTAAGTGTTAGGGTTGGGGTTTGGCCTTTGGGGTGTATGAAGAGTGCCTATAGCATGTTAGGTGTTACCAGAATACAAATAGTATTACTTGTAGTCCACCTCATGTTTAGGTGACTGCAAGCTCCAGGCTTTGTAGGCACTGGGTATGTATAAAACTTGGAGATAGCTTGGGGTATTGCAAGCCTGTGGTTGAAGTTTTATACTTTAGAATTAACCTAGATCAGGGGTTCCCAAAGTTTTTATGCCACGGCCCAGCAAACTGTGGCCTGAAAGTGGCTGTAGGCTGGCAAACTGCAGCCCAGCAGTCGCAGCCAACTGCAGCTGGAATTCCTGACTAGAAGAGAGGTAAGGATACCCCCATCCCCCGGGGGGGGGGGGGGGGGGGGGGGGGGGGGGGGGTGGGGGGGGGGGGGGGGGGGGGGGGGAGATGGGGTGCAAACCCTGTGCTGCCGTGGACCCTGTGGAAAGAGCCACGGCCTCTGCCCGGCTCTGGGGGGCTGTGGTTTGTCTGTCTGTGGTCACTTCTGGTCCAGCAGCTGACTCACCATGGTCTGAGGATTGAGAATCACTGACCTAGATTAACTTTCCTTGCATAGTAATAGAGGAAAAAGAAGAATGTGTTGACCAGTGATTCTTACCAGGTGTCATGGTCCCCTGGGGTACCTTGAAATCCTTTCAAGGATGCCACACAATATAAAGCCAAAGGTTTCAAATAGGAATATGTAGTGTTGAAAACATTCTGAACTACTGTGACCTTTCTGAGTTCTTTGCAACAGAAAAATTGCTCTATTATTTCTCTAGTCAAAAAAAGAGTGAAAAACTTAAGAATTACTATTTTCTAAGGAGTGCCTTAAGTCTAACAAGAGGGGTGTCTTGAGTTTGAAAAGGTTCAGAACCATTGGTATTGACGATATCTGGAACCATTGAGAACCATTTGTTTTGCTAAGTTTGGAATGACTTACCCTGATTTCATAGTGTCTTTGACTATTATTTGAGTATATAGAATTGCTTATGAGCGTGAAAGCCATGCCTCTGCCAAGCCACAGAACCCAAGCCAGGCAAGCATATGCTTACAAGCTATATCTGAAAGCAGGATGTCAGCAAGGATACCTCTTGGATTTCCCTGCTGCCTACATCCTCATGCCTAGGGACCTACCAAAGTCATGGTGGAAGTGTGCTGCATAGTAGCTCCTTTAATCTTGCAGTTTCCCCTGTGCACCCCACCCCTGATTGCCAGAGAGGCTGTACCACTCACCACTCACTCCTGATCGGAGGGGAGGCAAAAACCATGGTTTTAAATATGACATGGTTTTTGCCTCCTGCTGCTGATTGGCTGACCCAACAGCCCTGTTGCTCTGTGCTGATCAGCCGAGAGGCAAAAACCGTGCCATAATTAAAACTGTGGTTTTTGCCTCCCTGCTGATTAGGAGTGAACAGTGAGGCTCCTCTGCCAGTCAGTGTGGGGACGGAGGGTGCACCTGGGAAAGTGCAAGATTAAAGGAGCCACCATGCAGCAGGCTTCCACCATGATTCCAGTAGGTCGCTACTCATGCCATTCACCCCGGGAAGCTGTACCCTCAAACAAGCTGTGCCGTTTCACAGGAGGTACTTCCTGAGCTGGAAATGCAATAGCATTTGTGCAGTGGTACAGGCATCTAATTAGCTTAGTTGAGGTCCTGTTTGGAGCAGCATAATGTGGGAGGGTGCTGGTGCCTGCCCTGGTAAGTTTGTCACACAGATGGGCCTTCTGTCAATGGCAAAGAGATGACAGCAATAAGTTGATGTTTTTTAAGTTCCTTGTTTTCCTCATTTTGGACTGGGAGAAATTAAATAAGAGCTAGCAGTGTGTCCCAGGGGAGCTGGGGTTACAGGAGGACCCCTGGCCAAAGCAAAAAGAAAGCCCCACTTACCTTCTGCAGAGCCCGAAAAGCAGGAAGGAACACGCGCTGTGAAACCACCACCACGACTTATCAGCTGCACTTATATCCAGCTGGGGCCGGGGAGCGTGGGCTGGAGATGCCACCCGGTGGAAATAAAAAGCTGCCCCGAGGGTGCAGCGGGAGGGCAGACGAGCGGAGGCTCGAGGAGGAAGCCCACACCCCGAGGGGCTCAGTTGCTGTATCGGGCAGCATGGGAAGCCGGGGGCGGAGCCGGGAGAGGCTCCGACAGCAGAACCAACGGCAGAGTCAGCAGCGACGCCGACAGCAGAGCCTGCAGTAAAGCCGACAGCAACGCCGGCGGAGGAGCCGACAGCAGAGCCTGCAGCAACGCCAGTGGAGGAGCCGACGGCAGAGTCGGCAGCGATGCCGACAGCAGAGCCTGCAGCAAAGCCGGTAGCGATGCCTACAGCAGGGCTTGCAGCGAAGCCGGTAGCAAAGCCGGCAGCAACGCTGGCAGAGGCTCCAGCAGCAACATCTGAAGCAGAGCTGGCAGCGGCACTGGCAGAGGGGCCGGTTACAGAAGCAGCAAAAGCAGCGTCGGGCAAGCCGACTCGGGGTCAACTTGCAAGCCAGCAGTGAAGCCTCGGAGAGGAGGTAATGTGTGTGGCCAACGGGAAACCCATCGGGTATCACCATGGAGGGCGGCAGAAGACCCCAAGGAGGGACGGAACGAGCAGCAGACGGGCCCCACTACAGTCCTAGGATAAACGACTGGGACTCGATACCCGAGTGGGGCGAGCAACCAGGGCTGGGTACCTAGGCACAGGGGGATCCATGGGGCCTATAGGCTAAGGGCACCCTCTGTGGCCTCCTGGCCCACTGGCCGGATTGCTTTGGCTATCACGGTGGTGGGAATTGCATGCTAAGTCACAGGGTGGTTGGGATAGGGCGCTAGGGATTCGGATTAGTGGGACCCAGGTCCGTGGACTTCGAAGTCTGCACATAGAGTCACGACCTGAAGACACTGACGCGTGGCTGGCGGGCCAAGGGAAGAGGTCGCGTGGAGTCAAGAACTCAAAGGGGCCCAAAGACCAGCAACCCAAGGTGGCGAGTGGCCGGGGTGTAGGGGAGGTCGGAGCCCTGTGAGTGCCCGCCGGGAGGCGTGACAACCCTGGAAGCTGCCTTGAAGGGGAACCCCTCCACTGAGGTACCATTCAAAGTCGTGGTAGGCGAGTCAAGGGGATCCCCTGACATCAGCCAGGGTAGTCTTTGGGGTCCACCCGCAATCCCAGGACAGGCTCTATCAATGGTCCGGGCTAAGGCTGCACGAGAGCGCCTAATAGAGCAGAGGCGGGCACACAGTGCTTTCCTGAACTTTTACACAGATTTGCATACAGTACTTTCATATTCATATTGATATTAAACTAGTGGATTGAGTCATTGGATTAAACACTGCTGTTGTTTTAAACGGGGTTGTTTTTTTTCTTTTATGATTAAATAGAAA